CAACTCCTCCCCTGCATTCTCTGAGATTTCTGACACGGGAGGGGGCGAGGGCACTTACCTCATACCCTGCTGTGGATGCAGTATTTTAATATATCTGTGTTCCAGTCTCTGTGTATGTTTTAGCAAGAGGAAATCTCTTCAGTCTGGCTGGTTATGCAGAGTGTTACCAGCAGTCCCCGGCGAGTGCTGCAGATGGCTGCATATCTTACATGCTTAACCTCCCCCCACGCACGCTCCTTGTTTCTGTTCAGTTGGGTGCCCAGCTGCTCTCGCCTCAGTCTGAGCAATTGTTTATGCTAAGACACTCTGTAAAAGAAATTAATAGCTTGTATAATCTATATATACACTTGATAAGTGCTAAGCGTGCGTCCTCTCTTTGTGCTGGACGGTGTAAGACGTTTAAGCAAGAGACAATTAATCTGAAATTGGCCACAGAATAATGATGTTTTCCTGGGAAGAGAGAGGTGGGGATTGAAGCCCCTTTGAGCAAAAGGGGATTTTACCCTGTCTTGCATTTTCTTGTGAAGAGTTCCCCCAAGAACTTATTTTATTTTAATTATCTTATTTTAAGATAATTTTTTTCCTGCTTGTGATAAAGGGATCTGAACTGCCTACTTGAAGTGTGGGCTCTTACCATTTAATCACCAATAATTAAAGGCAGAGAAGCATCTACCTCCCCGTCTGTTTGGCTTTTGCAGGAGATGGATGGCATAAATAGAACCAGGAGTCTCTTGTATCCACATTTGACTTCTAAACGTGAACAAAGTGCCTGGGTTTACACCCCTTCTGCACTGGGGTAGCACTAAGGTGTTGTTCAAGTTCTTCAGGAGCTTCAGTGTTCTGTACAGGTCTGTTCCCATAGTGACTTATCCTTCAGGATGTGGTGCCTGCCAAAATCTATCAACTTTCTGTGCTTAGGGTAAAATAATAGGATATCTAATAAGTATCTTGTCTGACTTAATGTGGCATAGGAGGTTTCACAACAGTGGTCTGAAGTGTTACAGTTTACTATTAAACATTGCTACTAAAGTGATTTTCTTTTAAAAGTGCAGTATAATATCTTCAGAGAAGAGAAGGCACAGTCTTTAGTTTAGGGTTAAACTGTGCTCTTTAGCATCTTTAGGGAGTGTGTATATGAAAAGTTTGTAACCTTCCCCACAGCCCCAGCACTTCTTGAAAATTCAGAGACTTTAATAGTCAAAGATTCCTCCTGTGCACTTAGTGCACTTTATTACCTCTTGCAAAGGTCTGTAACTCAGGTTTTAGTTGCACAGTGTCTTCAGAACTGCTTTTCACAGTCCACAGTAGAAGTTGTAGGCAGAGTTAACATCTTTTTTTAGACAATCCTCTACCTACAAACTTTGTCTTCCATTGCCTGATTATTGTAGCTCTATAGCAACACTATCATTACAGCACAATAGTTACCAGAATTTGCAACCTGAAATGGAAAATTTGCAGCAGAACTTGAAAAAAACCCCCAAATTAAACAATGCCACTGACTTTTTAAGCTTCTATTACATCAGTAGGTCTAATAAAAGATGGAATATCTGCCTACATACATTGCCTTCCTTACAGCCATCGATCAGTCCAGCTCTGGTGTTATACATCTTGCATTTTCTTCAGTAAATTTAAAATGGATTATGATAAAGTGCATTTAGCGGATTGGTATTTGAAAAGAATTTTTTTTTATCAGGTCCTAAATTCCTAGAGGGTGGAGCAGACAGGAATGTCTAGAAAGTTTGGACAAATCTATCACAGGTCTGGGTCTTTCAGGATCAGCTCCAAAAGCTGGTATATTTAGAAATCTTGTTTTAGTCTGCTATTATATATATATGTGTATAAATTTAAATATAAATATGTTCTGCTATTCATGGCTTTGTATCTCAATAAATAAGTACAGGGTGTTAGTCTTCTTCACAAATGTGTTTGCTTTTCTGTAAAGCTATTTGTTGTCTTACCTGCAAACATATTATTGCAGAACAATAGAGAATTAAACAGAATTTAAACAGACAATTGAGATCAAACATGAGTGCACTTTTGCTTGTTCTCCATCCCTTTCCTTGCAGTTCACATTTTCCTGTAAGGCTGGTGCTTGTACTCCTGCAACTGCTTTGCCTCGTGGTGTTTGCTTAACTGTAAATGGAGAGGAAATGCCAATATTTATAAATCCTTCTGCAGAATCACTGTGTGAGGCAATCCTGGAAATGCTGCAGAGGCATTTGTTGTCGCAGCCACAGTGAGATGATGCCTGCACAGCCCTGTGCAATTGTGTTGCTGCGGACTAGAGGATGGAATTCATGGAAAGCGCCAGGATACAACTGCTATTGCTGCACCATGCTGGATTCAGGTTTATGGTCCAGCATCCATGAAATTTTCTTAAAATACATGCTATTTGTGGTGAATCTCGAGTGGCTGGAAAGCCCAGAGGTGTCAGTCCTGATCATCCTCCAGTTCATGCAACTCGTGCATAGAGCCTGATGTTTTCATACCTACACTTTTTGGCGATGATTCTGCTGCTGTGGGGGAGTTGCACAGGCAAAATCTGGCAAAAGGAGCTAGAAAGTAGTAGGATACATGTAAGTAAGGAAATATGCTCTCCTCATAATGGTAGTAGTCATGAAAATAACTAAATAAGTTATTATGGGGAAAGACTGAGTCAATCTTTAGTGATTTACAGAAACAAAGGATAAGTAATAAAGTATTAAAGCAGGTTGGAGGGGATGTATTTCTCCAATGCTTGTGTTCTTCCCCAGTATTAAATCTCAGTTCCACTTTTTGGGAACATTTCCTCTCTGCTTTGGCCTACATAGAATGAAAGGAATTTATGCCTTCTCTTACTTCCATGTTTTCACAGGTAATTCAGAGGTTTACATCCCTCAACAACACTAAGGTTTGGTTTTGGTACCCGTTTGTTTCTAAGAAAGCTGCCTGACTGCTGCAATGTGGCAACAGTAAAACAATGATCCTTGTTATGAGATTTTCTACTGAATGTAAAAATTGAGGTCGTGCTCCATTTCAGTTTTACGATTCCTTCATCTTTACCTGAGTTCTTTAATAATAGAAAGGTGAAGTGATTTTCTGTAGGTTTTAAAAAATGAATATAACCATTATTGTCTTTGTCATCACAGTTATCATTAAAAGCCCAGGCATTGTTATTTTATACAGTTATTCTAAACCCTATACTACTACTTAAACTGTCAAAAATAAATTATTTTTGCAATATAACGCACCACAGGGCCCAAAGATTGCACCAGCTGCTGTGCAAACTTGGAATGAGGAATTGCTCCTACCTACAGATGGGACAATCTAAGATCAGCAACAGGCAAAACCCACACACAACATCAGTAATCCCAGGTCACTCTTTGCCCAGCCATGATCAGGAGGAAATGTAGATCATAGAATCATGGAATGATTTGGGTTGGAAGGGACCTTAAAGATCACCCAATACCAAAGATACTGTAAATATTGTTGTAGATATCACAATGGATGTGGTGGTTTACAAGCAAGTTAAGAGATGACTCATGAAGCAGCTTCAGTGATGCTCAGGGACCCATCGGCAGGCCCTGCCAGCCCAGAGGGAAGCTGAGCATACCAAAGGTGCAAAGTCAAGGATTAAAATGCAGCAAACCCCCCCTCTCAGCTGATCAACACTGAGGCAGGTTTTGCTGCTCTCTAATAATCCTTCTGGGACAGCATTAGGAAACAGCTCAGGAGGGAGCCCTGGCCGTGGGCAGCGCTGGCCGGTGCTAGGCGGTGCCTGGCAGTTGTACAACTGCCCCATTTTCATGTGCTGTGCTTTTGTACTCGCATCAAAATATGTAACTGTGTGGGATGAAAGGCAACGGCAAATTGGATTGTGCCGTAATCCCAGCTGAAGCGCTGTCTTCTCAAAGATGTAAAACAGAACAGCATTGGGCTTCTTGCAGGCAGCAGGAACTTGTAATACATGAACTAGTTGTACAGCGACTAAGCAGTCCCTGAAGAGCATCTTCCCCGCCTCTCTGCAGAATTTGATCGTTCCGCTTCCCTAAATGTCTCTTGCACTTCAGCATCTCCCGTGAGCCTGTGACAGGGGGGAGCCGTCTTGTGAGACTGCTCTGGGGACAGACACCATCACACCCGCCCGCCTTCACCACATCTCCGTGTCCCCAGCAGTGGGGGGGCAGAGCAGGGCCCACCCTGCGTGGGGACCCTCGCTGGGGGACAGTCACTGAGGGACCCTCACTGAGAGACAGTCACTGGGGGACAGTCACTGAGGGACAGTCACTGAGGGACCCTCTATCGGGACAGTCACTGACGGAGCTTTGCTGGAGGACAGTCGCTGAGGAACCTTCGCTGAGGGACCCTCTATGAGGGATCCTCGCCGAGGGACAGTCCCTGGGGGACTCTCATTGAGGGACAGTCCCTGGGGGACTCTCATTGAGGGACAGTCCCTGAGGGACCCTCATTGAGGGACAGTCACTGGGAGCCCCTCGCTGAGGGCCTCCGCCTGCCGCCGCCGCGCCTCGGGGGAGCGACCCTCCCGACAGCTCCCTGCCGGCGCCGGGGCCTCCTCCCGCCCGGCTTTGCCCTTCTGCCATGGCCGCTTTCCCTCCCCACCGCCGCAGCTGCCGCTCCGTGCCCGTCCCTCCGCCGGCGCCTGTCGGGCTCTGACGGGGGAGAGAGGGCGGCGCGGGGCCGGGTCTGACCCGGGCGGGCTCAGGTGGGGGCGGACAGAAACAACACTTTTTAACGTCTATTATATTTATATATTTTTTTAATATAATTTTTTAATATATTCTGCCTTCTCCCGCGGGCGGAGGGGGCCGTGCCGGGCTCCCCAGCGCTGAGGCGGCGGCGGCGGTGGCTGTGTGGGGGAGAAGGGGGGGAGGGGCGGGCGGGCGCTCCCGCCGCTGCCCCAGACAGTGGGCGGGGCCGGCGCGCGCCGCCGGCGGGTTCGTGCCCGCGCGCCGCCGCCGCCGCCGTCTCGGTCTCCGCAGTGAGGTCACGGGTGGGCGGCGCGAGCGCGGCGCCTGTTCCGCTCCCCGCGGCCGCCGGAGCCCCCGCGGCGCCGGGTGAGGAGCGGGGAACGCGCCGGGGACCCCGCCGGGAGCGGCGGCGAGCGGGGCGGCCTCGCCGCGGGTGGAGGGGTGGGGGGAGAGCCGTGGGGGAAGGGCGGGAGCGCCCGCGGGGGATGGGAGGGAGCGGCGGCGCGGAGGCGGCGGGGAGAGGGGGACAAGGGGAGAGCGGGGGAAGCGGGCGGCACGGCGGCGGTGCGGGGCGGACAGCGGGGAGCCGGGTGGGGCGGAGGGGAGAGCCCGGCGGCGGGAGGGGGAAGGGCTGAGCCGTGCCCGGAGCGGTGCCGGCGGGGCCGGGGTGAGTCACGGCGCGGGAGGGAGCGGCGGGATGCGGCGTCCCGGGAGGGGCTGCGGGGTCGGGGACCGGGAGTGGGGTCGGTGCCCGGCCCTGGGCTCGGGGGAGCGCCCGTCCTGCGGGGCGTGCTTGCCGGGAGAGCCGCTCCGGGCCGCCCCCTCCCCCGCCGGCATCGCCCGTCGGCCGGGCTCGTCCCGGGGCTCCGTGAGTCACTGGGAAAAGCACCCTGCCTCTGGCAGGGAACCCCGGGATGACTTGGGTTCCAAGGGGCCTTAAAGCTCATCTCATTCCACCCCCCTGCTATGGGCAGGGACACCTTCCACGAGCCCAGGTTGCTCCAAGCCCGGTCCAAACTGGTCTTGGTCACTCCCAGGGATGGGGCAGCCACAGCTTCTCTGGGCAACCTGTGCCAGGGCCTCACCACCCTCACAGCGAAGGATTTCTTCCTTGTATCAAATCTAAACCTCCCCTCTTTCAGCTTAAAGCGGTTCCCCCTTGTCCTGTCACTCCATGCTCCTGTCAAAGGTCCCTCTCCAGCTCTCTTGAAGCCCCTTTAGGTGCTGAGCAAACCCTGTGACCGGCCCCTCTCTCTGTTCACAGGTTATCAGGAAGGACTGGCAGAACTCCGCTCTAGTACATGAATTCAGCCCATGGCCTGGATCTCACCTCTATTACTAATAACTCGGGCTGGGAAAATCCTGACACACGCCAGTGACATCTGGGCGAAAGGTGACTCTCTAGGGACGTTTAGCTTTTGCTGTCAATCTGGATCAGCCTTTAGTTTGAGGATTTATTTGTGAACTGCCATAGTAACTCTTGTGGTGGTGGTGAAATCATAAAGCTGGCAGCACAATAAAGCAAGCCCTTAAGACTGTGTTTGATCTCTAGGAGCTGAAAGTGCTGAATAAAATTTTCACACAACTTAAAACTACGTTTTGGATTGGCTGCGTTAAGATTGACGTTCTTCAAGCTGAGCCCGTTTTTCTATTTTAATATTTAAATAGAGACTTGTTTGAAAAGACAGTATATTTTTTAAAGGAAAACAATGATCAAGGATGGACATGTATCAGCGCATCATTTTTTACTAAATTGCTGTACAAGACTACTGTGTAAAATAGGGGGTAGGGTATGAAGAAAAGCCTTTTGTATAAATATTGCAGTGGGTTTTTTTATATTAGAAAATTGAACAAATAACTAAAAAAGTTGTGTAACCTCTCCATTAGTAATTTTATGGTATTACATGCAAAATGGGTTACAGTTTTTACTGTTGGAGGCTGAAGAAGTAACATTTTACTGAAAGGATTGTGAAACTTGTTGTACCTGAGGTAATCCAAGATCACTTGAAACTATTTTTTATATGAACAAGCAGGAAAATGCACATTCAAGACTAATTTAATTAAAGTTCTGGTGTTTAGCAATGGAAAGCCCACAGATAAACTTCCCTCTAGGTCTGGTTTCAGACCAGAAAAGGAGCAGGATCCAAGAGGATGGGAGTCCTCCACTGAAGAAAGCAATGACAGAAATGCATGTAAATAACAAAGTACAGGTTGTAATAAATAAATTGCCAACAATAAAGAAGGAAAACTTGGATGACTACGATGAAACTCCTGTGGAGGCTGATGGGGAACCCGCCAAGCCAAACAGCGCTTCACTATCTGAGCCTTTGAGTTTAAATCCAGGTTTGAAACACACATTGGCACAGTTTCACCTGAGCAGCCAGAGTTCTCTGGGTGGACCAGCAGCTTTTTCAGCTCGTTATTCCCAGGAGACCATGTCACCCACCGTCTTCCTGCCTCTTCCATCGCCACAAGTACTCTCCGGCCCGCTGCTCATTCCTCCGGACAGCTCCACGGAGCTCACCCAGACTCTGCTGGAGGGGGAATCCATCTCTTGTTTTAAAGTCGGGGGAGAAAAAAGACTTTGCCTTCCTCAAGTGTTGAACTCGGTTCTCCGAGACTTCTCACTGCAGCAGATCAACACGGTGTGTGATGAACTCTACATTTACTGCTCACGGTGCACTTCCGACCAGCTTCATATCCTGAAGGTTTTGGGAATTCTTCCATTCAACGCTCCGTCCTGTGGGCTCATTACGCTGACGGATGCTCAGAGACTATGCAATGCTTTACTGCGCCCTCGCACTTTTCCCCAAAACGGCAGTTTTCTCCCCTGTAAGAACACCTTGGCCCAGCTGAAAGAGACTGGCAGTGCCTTTGAAGTAGAGCATGAATGCCTGGGCAAGTGCCAGGGGCTGTTTGCACCTCAGTTCTACCTTGCGCCGGACGACCCGTGCATCCAGTGTCTGGAATGCTACGGGATGTTCTCGCCCCAGACGTTCGTGATGCATTCACACAGATCCCCGGACAAGAGGACCTGCCACTGGGGGTTTGAGTCGGCCAAGTGGCACTGCTACCTGCACATTAACCAAAAATACCTGGGAACGTCAGAGGAGCGGGAGCTGAAGCATCTCTTGGAGGAAATGAAGGAGAAGTTCAGTGAGAAAAATCAGAAAAGGACGCGGTCCAAAGTAAGTTCACCTGCTCTGGTAAAAACTCCCAAATCTCTTCCTGCTCACACCTAAATACTTGTTTTGGAAGCGCGTTGCTTGGCTTTGCTAAGTGGGAATGCTTGTCACATCAAGCCTAAGTTAAATTTGTGAGAGAGCTTCACCATGGAAATAACATTTCTCATTAAAAGGGGCGGTAATTTCTTTCCTCTTTGGGCTGTAAGTAACCACTCGAGCCAGCTTGGCTCTGTTGGTTCTTGTTCTGTTCTGAGGTATTACAGACACTGGAAAAATCAGGGCCATTGTGGGAATTTTCATTCTCCCATTTGACCTTTGAGTAGGTTTTATGCGGCGTGTGTTGCAGCAGCTGAGCAAAGCAGAAAGGAGCTTGAAAATCAAGTATTACAAATGAATTCTTCATTTGTTATTTGTGCTCCAGCTCACACACGTGGGCAGGGTGGCGACCTGGCTTGCTGGCCACCCATCTCATGACTTGTGTGCAGGGTAATGGTGCATTGCTAAAGGGCTATTTAGGAGCCCAAAGTCTGCTTGTTCAGCAAGAGCTTTCTGTTTAAACCACTTGTGTAGAGAAATATGCCAAAAAGAGGGGGGTTTTAAGCAGCCCAAGTAATGAGCTGTAGGCCGGTATCTTGACAATGGTTAATAATAGACGTCTTATTTTTTCCTAAAATACTGCTGCAAGTCTGTGCTGTGGTTCAAAAATACAGAGCTTATTTGTCCCTTGGAGAGCTTCTATTTTAAATAATAAGACAAGCACCAGATAAACATTTACATCATAGATGTTTCCATTCATAGAAAGTACAAGTTTTGGGTATAATTTAAACTTAAAGAGGTCTTTAATGATTTCTGCCCTTTGTCTTTGTTTCTCTTCAGTGTATTTGGTTTTCTGTGTCTGTTTGATGGCTCTTGGTTTGATGATAAATCCATTTTGCCTGTTGGATGTTTTGTGGTGGATTTCAAAATAGCAGCAAGAGCAGCCCAGATGGCTGAGCCCAAAAAGGGGTGCTATAAGCTGACACCTTTTGACATAAATTCCTGAAAAGTTAGCGTTGCAGGAAGGCTTGCTGTAGTAACAGGTACTGTTACAGTGGTGTCAGTCTACAAGAAGGGGTTTTAGCAGCAAATTCCTATGGAAGTCTGCAGTATGGCACGCTTCCATGTGCTGAATTAGTTGAAGATGCAGTCTCCTAGCAAGGAGACTTTGCATTTCAACTGATAAAGACCTGTCAGTCTTTATCCCTGCAAAGCCAGTGTAGGAAATAAACTACAGCATGGTGGAAATAGTCTTCCATATTCATACCTATAAATGCTGCTTCCCTTTCCACAGTAGCAGATTTCAGACCATGAGATCTTTCGGTTTCTTGAGCACAGACTAAAAAACCCAGCTGAAGTTGGCAGTAGCAGTAATTTGGACTGGACCGGTGCAAATGAAATACAGAAACTTTCTGCAGTCTTCCGTTGCAGACCTGTGTAATTCTTTCTTACAAAGCATCATATGAAACCAGAGTGAGAAGCTGTGAAAACATGAACAAAATTGAGTGATGGGGGAGGATTTTTGTCTTGGTTTCTTTTTTTTTTTTTTGTCTTGTGGATATTCATCTGGAAAGCATAAAAGATTAGAATAGTTTAAGAGGGCAGTGTTGGATCACAGCCTCTGTTCCCTTGTCCTGGAGAAGCTTGGGCTGCTTCAGTCGTCTTTTCATGGAATCATAGAATGGTTTGGAAGGGACCTTAAAGCTTATCTCGTTCCACCCCCTGCCATAGGCAGGGACACCTTCCACTAGCCCAGGTTGCTCCAAGCCCAGTCCAACCTGGCCTTGAACACTTCCAAGGATGGGGCAGCCACAATTTCTTTCCCTTGTTTCTGTGGCGTGAGAGAAGTATTAGGTACAACATGTAGACATTCCCTTTCCTTATACTCCTGAGGGAATTTATTTGCAGGATGTTCCATTTGCCATTCTGTCACCTCTTTACCACCTTTGCTGAGTCAGTGCTCTGCTCTCAAGTGCCAATGCATCTTTGTTATCTTGGAGGGCCCAGGAAGAACAGTTGCCCTTGGCCAGGTCTTTATCCATGTAGTAATAATAAATTAGTTCATTCCCATGGCCTTTGGAGCATCTTAGATCCCATGCCTTGTCTTTCTCCTTAGCGTTTCACTCTGAGTTTATTCACCTCACAGCGCATAAATATTCTACTTCAATATTTTAAGAGCAGACAAAGTACTCAGCGGTTAATTCCTTTCTGTTCTTTGTGCTAGTAAGAAATCTGTAAGCTGTGTGCTTGATTGTCATAGTTTTCTGTGGAGTTCTAGACTGCAGTGCCACATCCACCTGCTCTTCATGGAACAGCTGTCACTGAGTCTGTGCTGATCTCTGCGCTCACAGATCCTCATTTCCTTTGACTTTGCGACAGCTTCTGACCTCTCTGCATTAAAACTTTGTCTTGCTTCTCAGACTAATTCCTTGAGTTGGTCACAGTGTGTGAGGAAAAGCTCAGTGTGAAGAGTTAACATTGCTTCTGAGTATTTTGTAAATCTCGTCTCTGCTGAAACTACTGGCTTAATGATTAGACTGAAAAAACTACTTTCCTATATGTTATTTTTCCTTGAAGAACAGCTTTGTCCAACTAGCTTAGAAGAAAAAATAGACATTTTTCTTGTAGCCCTTTCAGACAGTTTGGGTATAACTAATTCAGTGTGTTTACAGAATTATTTAAGAGCATCTAAAATAAACAGATTGTTGAGTAATGAAATAACATACATATATTTATATATATAAGTAGATGCTTTATTTTATTAACCTGTATGTGGAGGGAAGAATCCTGTTAGAAAATGACTTCCATGTTTATGGTTACATTGCATTTTCTTTCATAAGTAAAAATTTGATTGCATGCTGTGAAATTTATGTGCAAAATGCACATTAACGGGTGGACAGTAAAGTTGGTTTCCATTTGAAATAGGTTAAAAAAAAGTAAAAATCTGACTTAATAACTGGAAAATAGAGATTACATGATAGGTAATTTCATATGTAAATATATAAACACGTTAAAATGTAAGTTGTAAAATATGGACAAATGTGGTTCAGGACAAAATCAGATTGCTGCACACTAGCTGCTGTATAAGTAGATTATATGTGATTATTTAAATTACTTGAATGATCTGAGTAAGTAGAAAAGACTTCACAAGTGTCAGGATGAGGCCGATTTTTCTAGAGATTATTCAAGTCTTTATTATTTAAAGGCTTGATTATGAATTCACTACTCTGGAGCTCTGCTTCCTTATGCCCTCCCTCCTTTCTGTCTGCATTGGAACTGATTTGAGGAACTGCAGGGGTGGAGTTAAATTTCAGTTTCATTGTGAGAGCTGAGTTTAGGGGGCTGGAAGTTTTGATCAGAATGAAATAGGTGGGATTTGGTCCCTCTCATGGTCAAGTGTTGGATTCCAATCATGTGGGATTCTGCAGACCATGGCACAGACAATCCTGGTGTCACTGGGTGCTCTCTGACTGCCAGGGATGGAGTTCTGTGACAGTTTATTTCAGGGTGTGTAGTTATAAACTTTTCTGATAATACAGCACACAAGGAGTGATATCCTTTGCTTCACTTGTATTTTTCCCTTTCCTTCACTTATTAAACCGTCTTTATCTTGTCCTGGGAACTTTCTTGTCCTTGTCCCCGTCTCGCTGGGGGTGGTGCTGAGGGAGTGGCTGTGTGGGTGTTTGGCAGCTGCCTGGGGTCAGCCAACCACACCCTACCCCAAAACCCACATCCCAGGGCTGTTTTAACACAGTGAAATTAAGAACCAATTTCTTACCTACAAGTCTTGCTTAAATATATGACGAGACACCTTTCCCTTGAAATTACCAGCAACTTTGCAGGGGAGCACGAAGGATCACGAGTAACTTTGATTCAAGTGTGATTCCAAGAATATTTCTTGAGACACACAGAACAGGAATTGTTATCCAAAGGGAGAATGCACAGAAGTTTTTAAGATTATATATTCTGATGCACCTGAGTTAATTTTTTTTGGTACTGCAAAGGGAATGGAGTTGTCATGTTACTGTGAGCAGCTCTGCCTGCTTCTACAATAAAAATTCATGATTGAATAAAATTCAGTCCCTGGAACACCATCAAATTGTTCCCTTTTATTTCGTAATAAAGTATCTCACAGGTTCTTACTCTAGTAGAGATACTTTATTGCAAAAAGCTCCCACAACCTTTTGGGAATCCTAGTTTCTGCTTTCTGTTTCCCCCAAACTTGTTTAACATGCCTCTGGCAGAGTTCTGGGAACTCAGCAGAGCTTTTAGATGGGTTTGTAAAGAGATTTTCTTTTAATTTCATTGCTATTTTGCCCATAATGGGATATTGGAGATCGAGGAAACTTCTGTGGCTTGGCCTCACCCTGAAGCTCTGCCAAAGACACCCCACTTCCCATACTCCAGTTTCTCAGGTGTGTCTGTATTAATGGTGTAAATGCCATTCCTCTGAGGAGTGCTTATGAAAATGTAAATAACATGTACCAATTACCAATTTATTTTCTTTTCTTTAGGCAGAGCCACAGCAGAACCTGGAATTATCTCAGTGGTATCCAGTTATAAAGCAAGAAGCAGAAACTGATCCTCAACCACCCTCCTTTTTCCATCCCAGGTAACTGAGTTTCCTGGTTAAAAGTATAAGCACTGTCAAATATTTAAATACTTTTGGCTATTTAAGTGTAATTCAAACTGAAAAAAAAAAAAGGTATTTGCAACCTGAACTGTTAAGGAAACTAAGGGATCACACAGGGATAATTGAACCCTAACTTTTTGTGCATTTCTTAATGTCAATACTAATGAACTGCTTGTGAGTAGTTTTTGGTACAGGACTCAAGCTGTGATCTGTGAGTGTTCTTCAGTAGGCAATACTATTGAAATGTAATTAAAATTTCACTTTTCAGAGTAGAAATGACAGAAGATAATTTTTGACCTTTCACATTATAGTACAATTCATGCTCATGGAAAGCTGCACTTACCATGAAGACCACTCAATTTTCTTCCAAAAAAGACTTGTAGAAGGTGTTTGAAGGCTTTCTTCCACAGTGGAGCGATGGCTGCAGCTGAGTTGTCTGTTCACTAGTTTCCTGGTTTGAGAAACCGAGTGCATTTCCTTAACTTCTCACACAGTTTGTCATCTGCTTCAGTGAGGGAAACAGTTTTTCTTCACCTCCCATGTGCCCTCACCCCCTGTGGTTACACAGGGGGGGATTTGGGTCAGAGCAGACCCTTTTGGTTAACAGCAGGCAGCAAAGCAGCAAACACATCACACTGGTTCACACACAGGCATGAGAGTGGGAGCACTCCTGTGATGGTCCCTCACATTCCTGTTACTGTCAGTGCCTTCCTTCAGACCCAGGAGAAGGGGAGGTGTTGGAGACAACAATGTTGGCTCCAGCATCAGGACACTGGTTGTCTTGGCACTGACCTGAACACATCTGGGACTCTCTTCTCTCTGTACTACACAAAAGCTGAGTGGTGAGGTTGGAGTGGTACACAGGGATGCTCCTGGGAGCCCAGGAAAATCCAAACAGGCTGCTCAGTGTATGTGGAAAAGAAGGTCCAGCATTGGTCTGGGACATACCCCAGCACTGTCAGGATGCAGCTTTGCTATTTAAGATGCTCATTCCCACTTCACTGATCACTTCCCCATCCTCCACTGCTAATATAAATATAAGGATTATGAAAATGCTAGAGAGTCTGGATTTAGTGGCATTCTAATTTCACTCTTTGCATTTAAATGAAGACTTCATATGATTTTCTGTATGTTTTTTTTTTTTAATCAGCCATGTTTGGAAAATCCTCTTGTTTGATAGCCTCAAAACCTTATCTAGATTATCTACTCAGTAAAGATTAAGTGGATCGTTAGGATTTCCTTTTGCATAGGAAAAATTTAAAAAGGGCATGCTTATTTTTTACAGTTTGAACTCATGTTAAATTAAACTTACTGCTCTGTACCAGCCATCATTTATTGTCTTACCTTTCACTATGAATTTTACTCTTCTGCTGTTTCAGTTACTACCTTTATATGTGTGATAAAGTGGTTGCCCCGAATGTCTCTCTTGCATCACAATATAAGGATGTTGCAAAAACAACAGTCAAAGCTTCAGAAGTAATTAAATCCTCACCTGGGCAGTCGGAGAAGAAGCTCAGCAGTGGAAAGCACAAAAAGGCTGCCTCCTATCCAGAGGTTTCTCTTGAAGAACAGGAAAAAATTGACTTGAAAAGTGGTGTGGAGCAGCATAAACGTTTAGGTGAGTAGTCAAAATCGTGTCTAAGTCTTTGATTTTTATAGCACAGAATTTTGGAAAGCGTAACAACCACTGAGCAAGAACTTTGTGACGTCACCTCAGGTTTCCAAAAATTCCTTGCGCCTTTTTGTGATCTTGCTTTTCTTCGCCTTTTTTTTTTTTTCCCCACTCTGGGAGTTGAATTTTCTGTGGTTATTATGCTGTGTTCTTCTTTTCTGTGCAGATCCACCTGTGGTGCTGACTCGTCCTGCGAGAGGTGGGAAATCTGAACGTGTTTCTTCCAAACTCACCAGAGACTCTGCCCGTGCTGAAACGGGGGGTGATGCACGGACCTTGTCCCCCACGCTCATGAAAGACATCAGTTGTGAAGATGACAAGGGAAAGATCATGGAAGAAGTGATGAAAACCTACATCAAACAGCAGGAAAAGCTGAACACCATTTTGCGGAGGAAGCAGCAGCTCCAAATGGTACAGTGCCAGTCTGAGAGCCTTTCACCTCTGACTCCAGAGAGCTGCTGGGAGCTGGCTGGACCCAGAGTCAATAGCACAGATTACATTCATTTAGGAACAGCAAAACACACAGATCATCTTTCCCTCAGCTTGAATCCAGACACCAGATCTTTAGTATCCCTTACGCTCAGGAGGTTTGAGCCCGCTAATAATTGGCGTCTCTTCAGTTTGCAGCTGCTGGGTCCAAGCAGCTCCTGCTTTTGCTGTATCCTCTAAAATTTCTCAGTTTTAAGGATTTTAAAGAGGTGACATCAGTATTCTAGGAATGGTCTTATCACTGCCCTGTACAAAAAAAGAACACCACCCTCCTATTTCAGTTTACTGAGGCTTGTTTTCAGGGATTTTAGTTTTAGCCTTTTTGTAATAATGGATGATTTTAGAGGCTGGTGTTTACTTGTGACATTTCTGTTTTCTGAATTAAGTTAAATACTGTCTTTGCTTCTTACATTCATGGAACAGACCTAATATTTTATTTTAATTTAGTTTAGTTTAGTTTAAATGCTAATCTCAGAATCTAGAGTTCAGGTAGGGCCCTAAAGCTACTACTTTTAAGTTGTTCAGCTGTTGGAGGTAAAGCTTGTAGGTAAGTTAAAATAAATTAAGTCTTTAAAAATATCAAAATGCTAGTGGAAAAAGAAGCCAAACACTTTTATTCTGTTTTCTGATGATGCACTTCTTACTACTTCAGAGTATATTTTAGTAAACCAGGTTTTTTTACTTTTCTGGTCTTAGAAAAAAAACTGTATGTGATCTTGATTTTTCTTTACAGGAAGTGGAAATGTTAAGTAACTCTAAAGCTATGAAGGAACTGACTGAAGAGCAGCAGAATTTACAGAAAGAACTCGAGTGTTTGCAAGCAGATCATGCTCAAAGAATGGAAGAGTTTTATTTTGAGCAGAGAGACTTGGAGAAGAAACTGGACCAAGTGATGAAGCAAAAGTGTAGCTGTGACTCCAATCTGGAAAAAGACAAAGAAGCTGAATATGCAGCACAGGTGAGAAGGGAAGGTTTGTTTCCAACCAAACAGCATTTAGTTATCAGGAAATGGTGAAGCTGTTGCTCAGGCACTTAAAGGTTTCCTTTTCTCTGTGTGTTTTGACACCACAGACAAATACCAAAATAGGTCACAGTGACAGCAATATTTATTTCCCTGTCCCTTGGTTGAAACTGGGGTAGAATGCAACAACTTAACATGATGTTATGGATGAAATATTAATCTTAAACATGAGGTCTGTTATATCCTCATTTAAAACAAACTCTGTTCTGAATGTATATGGGCTTGCCAGTGGTATAGAGTTAAACAATCTCGTTTTATTTCTATGAATAAGCTATTAATCTTCTTCCTTTTATGTTAAAAAGAAAATCCAAACCTCTAAACCATGTTTTTGTCAGATTAGCAGCATAACTTGCTGCTCTTTTTGTTCCTCAGTGGTAGAATCTTCTGCACTATCTGCTGAGCCCCTTCTGTGCTGCAGCAGAGCATTTGGCCAAGAGTTCTCCTGGAAATATAAATGATATTTGTGTCTCTCATTCCTGCCCCTTGGATTCATATGTCAAAACCCATGGAGTTGTTGTTTTTTCCCTTCACTTTCCTTTCAGCTTTTACTATTGTCCCTTTATGTTGGAGGGTATTCATGTCATTCCAATGGGACAAAATATAGCCAATGCCAAAGGGAATCCTGGAATACCCTTTTAAAAATCAGCTGCAGTTATGATCAAATGTATAGTGATGTATTTTGTACCGTGTCACAGAAAACTAGTCCTAACAGACCCATTTTTAAAGTAAACAAAATCGAAAACTTGAGCTCAGCAGAGCTTTGTGGTCATTTATTTGTTCCTGACTGTGTATATTTCCTGTTCTTACTGACTCAAAGTGAGAAACAGGCAGTACTTGAGAGACAGGTTTTGGTATTTTTGGTGAGTAGGGCAGAGACCAGCATCGTAAATCCTTCTCACAAATTTAATTTCATGACATCCCACTCCACTGATTCCTGGCCTTTGCTGCCAGAAATAATCCTCTCTGACTAAGGCCTGATTTACTAAACATCTGGTACAAGCCCTATTAGTGCAAGTAACAACGTGTTCTAATTCATGAAGATGATCATGTGTAGCACGTTTTATGTGGCTTGTGCAGCTTTCTCTCTTTAGAGGGTAAAAACCATGGATTGTTCCCCAAGTGTTTCTTTTGAAGTTAGACTTTGAAAACTAAATAGATTCCTTGTGTAAAAGTTTACTCTGATATTACCTGTGTGGTAGAGCTATTCACAACATATAATTTGAACACTTTTCTTCACTTATCACATCTTATAGTAGATTTTGGTTCCAAGAAGCATCAGATTTAAACAGAGGTCCTGGGAACAGGGAACTTCCACAAACTTTAATCCAATGTCTTCCTGAAGCAGTTGCCCAGGCTGCCTTTTCTGTCAGAGAACTGTGGACTGTGAGGAACCCTCTGTGTGCATTAAACAAAATTAATAATTTGGGATTTGTTACTTGCTTAAAAGTCTCTTTTTCTTTTTAGGCCTGTCTAGGCACTGCCTTCTCCCCCTTTTTGGCTTCTTTATTGAATTGGCTTCTTTATTGTTTACTTTAATTGTTGCTTCATCCTGTAAATCAGAGCAGGGCAGAATAACCAGTACTGGAACTTTTCCTTAGAGCTGGAAATCAAAACCCAGCCAGAGAAATGTGTATGTGGGACGTGCTGCAACATGCAGGCAGTGGGCACTGTTGTGCTGCAGCACTTCACTGAATCCAATCGTGGAGTCAGAGGACTTGCATTAACAACCTATTACTGTATTCCAAAGATGACAACTTTATTTCTGTGTTTAAACATAAAATATTTCACAGAAACATTTGAGTGGACTCAGGTTTACATTTGAACATGCACACATGGTTATGGTCAAGATTTTCTAAATGTCATTTCTTGTAATTCTGTTTCATTTATACTAAAGGGTATCAGAAAGCAGTGTTGGTGGGTTTGTTTGCTCTAGAAATGCATTCAGGTATTGAAATAAAGAAGTAACATTTTGGCAGGTCGGAGAAATGAACCTGGGAAATGAAAAGGTGCATCTTGTCCTGGGATTTGTGAAACATCTGATGCAGACATCATCCTAATCTCCCCAACAGATTATATGTATTGTCAACGTGGTCTAGTGTGACAGGTCCTATAACTACAATTTATATGTATTTAAAAATTAGATTTTCTCATTTTTGCTAAAATGTGCTCTGCCTCTCTGTCTCTCCTGTTTCACAGCTGGCAGAACTGAGACAGAGGTTGGATCATGCAGAGGCAGATAGACAAGAGCTTCAGGATGAACTGAGACAGGAACGAGAGGCCCGGGAAAAGTTAGAGATGATGATAAAGGAATTGAAGCTGCAGATCCTGAAATCTTCAAAAAATGGGAAAGGAAAATAGAAATCGGAAGAGGAAGCACGACTGCCTGCTTCAAACAGGGTGTTTTGGTTTTTAATGAGTTGTGAACAATTTCTGTGTGCTGAGAAAAAGTGTTCTCTACAGGTTTCTGTTTCCCAGACAGGTCAGAAGAAGATATACATAGATATAAATAACTAGAGATAGATAGACATTTTTAGATTTTCCTAACCAATGAAAATCTGCATTGATTTGTACTGGTGTTTTTCTCAAACAATGAAAAATATGAAACCCTTGGTTTAGAGTGACCAGTTTCTGTCTATTTCTAACAGTCTTAAGGACTCAACACCTTTTAACACTGTCTGTTAAAACATGTGTGGGTATCTTTATTTTGCTATCAATTGCACATCCAGTTATACAAGTACATTGAGAACATTCTGAATTCTTCAAAGTCAAAAATAGTTTGGGTTTCAGTGAGAATTGAATGTTCTTGAACTGAGGAAAGTAAAGGCAGCTTTTCATCTGTTAGGTAATGCTCAAAATTGCCACAATGACTGATGATTGAGCCTCAAAAGTGATTTACCAGCATGAGTTTTCCCCATAATTTCATTATGTGAAGTCAGGCTGATCTTTTTAGTATTGTCTGTTTAACAGCTCATTATCAATCTAAAGAGTGCTAGAGCCAGCACTTACCTGCTGTGCTGGAAGAAGAAAACATTGGGATTTTTTTAATTAATTAAAAAATTTACAATTACAATGGAATCTTTGGAAGTTAAAAATTCACAAGTTTTCTTCTGTTTTCTTCTATGTAGTAGGTGTGAAAGAAACATTAATAAAAGGCTTAAAGGTGGGGCTTTTTCTTCTAGAAACGGAGAAAGCTTGACTTAGCTGTTTTCAAGATTCTAATGCTTTCAAGAAAAATATTTATTAAGGAATATGTGTTAATTTCTTTAGCACCCTAAGCCTCCACACTTTGAGCTTCTTGCCAACTTGCGGGTTTTTCTTTCGTTACATAGAACAGGCCTTAACTGACATTGTGATCATAGCTTAAAAAAGTAAAATTCTGAGGTATGGCACTTTGAAAAATCATTTTGATAGTCTCTGTATTTGACTGGCATGGTAGGGTTACCATGAGTTAAGAAATACAGCATGTTTGTTAAGCTATAACGTTGGGAAATGTGTAATTGTACAGAATTACTGTTTTATGTATATATAATGTTTGAGTACTTCTGAAGTCTGGTTCCTAGTGGATTAAATGCATGGCTACAGAGTTGGATGAAGAAATACTTTATTTGCACTTCTCTCCAAAAAGTTGGATACAGCTGGCAGATGTCAGCTGATCATGTCAGTGATAGGAATATTTTCGTAATTCTAGTATTTCACTACATGATTTTAACTTGTGCTTTAGCTTCTTTTTTTGAGGTCCTTAGGTTTAATATCCTCTTAATAATTCAGTTAATTTTGGATGAAGCCGCTAGTAAAAGCCTACGTTGATTAATTTTTTTCCCTGAACTTGTAAAACTGAAAACTTTTGAGCTCTTTTTTGTTTCTGTTTTAGTGGAATAACAAGACTGAATATCACAGAGAAAGATAAAATTGCACATATCTTTAAATTGAATGAGAAATGAGGTGGTAAATTAAATGTCATGGAGTCATAGGACGATTTTTTTATAACTAAGTACAATTTTGTTTATGAACTCTGTTTCATAGTTACACTGACAATTAAAGCAGGATAGATGAAAAGTTATCAATTGTCTTTGTCAGTGTTGATGAGAATCATAGAATGGTTTGGATTGGAAGGGACCTTAAAGATGATCTTGAACCACCCCCCTGCCAGAAAAGAAAACCCAGATTATATTTTCCCCTTCTTCAGCTCCATCTCCAAATTCTTGCATTAAAAAAATAATACAAATGAAAAAGAAAAGGCCCATCTTTGCAGTGTGGTTTGGAGGGGAAGGTACTGACTAAATAGTTCTGACTGTGTATGCAGCACTTGTTTTAAAAACACCATAAATGTTTTATTGTACCAACCACCAAACCCAGGGATGGCAGGAGAGGAGGCAGGAATATTGATAAAAGTGTGATGATTAGGGAATGGAGCAAGTTGCCCAACTTGCTTGGCAGATCCTGTGTTGGATTAGCTGGATGGGCAAGGGGAAAAGGTGTTAATAAAGGATGGAGAGATGCATTTCTAGTTGCTTTTCAGTGTCAGTGTTTGGACCCAGACTCGTTGGGTTGTCAGTGTAGATAAATAAGGCCACCAGCTCGTTTAATACAGCTGCAGTGACTAATTCACACAGTATTTATAGCTTAGCTGTTGAATGTATGGAATCCTCCTGGGATCATTATATTAGAACACTGTATATTCCGTTTCCATGCAGGTCTTGTCTCTGTTTTGTGACTTCTGCTCAAATCTCCCCTTTTGCCAGCGGTTGATGTTCAGCAGCACTTGGTGGACTGCTGGAGGCTCTTAAAATGCTGGTGTCTGTCCTTTGTTCTAATATTTTCACTGTTGCAAGAATTCCAGCAGCTATAGGATGTTTTACCAATTCCAACTGCAGATAAGGCCTCCTGATCGTTTTCAAACATCTGGCTGATAAAGCTAATGGGACATTTATTAAAATGACTTTAAAAGTAGCTTTGTAAATATTCCATTTAGTTAATCTAAAGTTAGAATGCATTTTAAATTATTGTAATCCTCTTAAAATTCTTAAATGCTACTTTCAGGCTCTTGGCGTAAACATAATTTTCATACTCGTAGACTTAATTTTATACTGATTTTAAGTAATAATGTATACATAAATGTGCCATAGACTTTTGTGTGTTCACAGTCTTCGAAAGATAGTTTTTTAGTAAATTGTAAATAGTACTGTATAAGTTCTGGAACAAATATATGTTGACTTTTTTTTTTTTTTTTGCCCCTACCTTATGCTAGTTCTATTGAATGGTTTATTTTGCAGCCTGATTTAGGAACTTGGAATGCACACTTGAGGGCCCTCACTTAATGGTAGAAACTAATTCTGTCATTAGGTCCTTGCTTTTAGTCATAGCATGCTCATTTTATGTATTGTTATTTGTTTTTCCTTCAGCTATTGCTTGCTGGTCTTTCAGGCAGGAAGTCATGTTCCCAGATACTTGTGGCATGAAGCCTGTAGGAAAAAAAAAATCCTAAAATTGCCCCTGATTTGAAAGTTGGATTATTAAACACCTAGGGCAAGATTGAAGTTGCCTAGTGCACCTTTGGGAACAAAGTAAGTAGGATTCGAGGTGAATACCTAGTTTGCTCCTATACATTTTTAAAAGAGAACTTTCACGTGCTTTGTGTACTTTAATCAACAAAATATAAGAGCTCAGAGAGTAAAACTCTTGTAATTTTGGCAGTCTAGAAACATCCTCACTCACAGTATAACCAGGTATCCCTCAACGAAAGAGATTTTTATCTAAATCTCCAGATTTAAGTCCGTGTTTTAGGTTTTTATAAAGCATATCGTTCAGTTTGAGCATTTAGATGAATGTAGTTATGTTTCACCTTCTTAAACTAATTTTATTCTATATTTAATATATTGATAGCTTAGGTGTAAAACCATTTGTACATAGTAAAGGCATAATGCAATTAGTGAAGTAGGAAAAGTTGGGTGGGAGCATAAAGCTACTGGTGGCCTGGAAAAAAAATAAGTCTTGGCCCGTATTTTAGAAGTCACAATGTTTTATTCATACATCTTGTTTTATATATCGGGGAGGGGATAGCTAGAATGTGTTATGAGATTTTTGGAAACCTTTCCTAGCATTAGTCAGGAGGTTGGCCTTGCAGTGCTGTCATGGTCAGCTACCTAGAATTCACTTGTTTGTAGAGTATATATTTTGATTGTCGGTAAAGATAACAACTTTGTATTTTTTCTGCACTTAATTCGTGTAATTAATCCACACAACAGAGTTTTCTATAACGTGGTGAAGTCGACAAAAGACGTAATTTCTCCTACCTGTTAATCTGTGCTTGCAATATTTCAGTAATTTTATTTAAGCCATCAATAGGAAGCAGCAGAAAGCTGCAAATTTCAATTTTTTTTTTTTGCTCATTACATTTGTAGTGTGAGTGTTCATCAGTTTTCTTTACAGAAAGCTTGTAGAATTTTCTATTTGCTGCATATATCTATTTAAAAAAATGCAGTCGTTTTTTAGCTTTTGTGAAAGCAGTTATTGCCTACAAATTGCACGACGATTTTCTAGTGTGTCTCCATGACTTAGCCAATTGTTTTTTTCAGGGTTAGTGGTTCAGTTGGAAAACGCTTGAAAAAACGAGTTTTAAGCACTTCATCAAGCACAGCAAACACGGTGTAAAACTTTGCTATTTGAAAACGGATTCAATGTAACAGTACCAATTGAATTTTTTTTTTCTTCTAAGAGATACCTCACTTAAAGGAAAGCACAGCTGTACTGTATTTAAACTAATTCTAGGAAATAAGAAAAAAGTTGGTCTGAAATATTTCGTTGCCATCAACGTTGCTTTCTGTGATTGACAAAACGTTTTTGTGTTTTCATCCTCGCTCTCTAAAGTATTTTTTTGCTGTTGACATGCCAGTATAATTCTCTCAAATGACAGAAAGTAGCTGCAGAACAACCGAGTCCGTGTGAGCTCGAGGCAACAGGTTGAATGACTATTCTGAAACCGTAGGAAAAACGATCCGTGCATTCAACAATTTTTAATACTTTGCCAATGATGTACAGTCTTATTGTCAGCGTTGCTGTGGTTGCATTACATGACACACAGAACTGTCCTCTACCTCACGTGAGATTTAACAGATATTTTATATGGTTTTAGTAAACAAGATGCATCTATCTGGTCACTTAGTTTACAAATTTTGAATTATATTTATTGAAACATGACATACTGTGCTCTTAGCTTATACCTCAATTGTATTTTGTGCTGTTATCCATTTCCATGCCTTGTAAATACCTGTATAGATCGTGGATTCAAAAGCAAATAAAGAACTGTAATGTCAGAACACTTTGTCTCTGTATTTTTGAACACCGACTTCTAAACTTGACTCTTTGAAGGTGTTTAACACGAGGACAGAGCCTTCCTTGCTTTGATTACAGCAAATTAAAACCTGATTACGCTGAAATTTGTTAGCAGAACTCCTGTGGCCTGCAGCAGGTCCCCACTTCTCTAGAGGGTATTTTTAGCAAAATCTACAAGATCAAAGCTCTCCCTCACCACAACTCCACTTCCTAAAGCTCTTATGGGTCTGTCAAAGTATTGACACTAAGATTTCTGTGTATCTTGGCATAGATTTGGGGTTTATACCTGTAAATACAACCACTTGCATGCTTGGCAAGTTCTGTGGTGCTCAGCTTTGTCACCACTCGGCTGCTCAAGCAATGTTTGAGTTGTTCACACCTCTCTTCAAGAGCTTAATAAAGGATGAGGTTAAAACCACACATTACCAGAATAAATGCTGAGTTTATACAAAGTTAAAATCAGAAATGAGAATTTTACTGTGTTTCCTGAAAAAATGGTTACTGCTGATGGGAAATATTTCCTAGAGCGACTCTTGGGAGTTCTTAGTTTTTGTAAACTACGTGATTGTGTTGCTCAACACAAGTTTTGTGTACTATCAGAGAGCTTAAATAGCAGAAAAATCAGAATAGGAGAGGGAAAGAGCAGTTGAGATGAAAAAAGGGAGCAGTTCCTCTAAGCTGTATATGAGTGAGTCTTCCATTTACCTTGAGCTTCCACCACTTACAACAATAAACTGTATTGGTCACTTAAAAACACCCTGTATTGTAGTAAAATAAAACTTTTGGCATGAGTAATATTTTGGGGAGTTTATGGGTGATTTTATTCATCCTGAGAGTTTTTTCTAGGCAGATAAGAAAGCACATTCACATACACACACTTTGGTATTTTTTCCTCTCCTCAAATCAGTGCAGAAACGCTTTGTCCTTGTTTTAGGGAACTGTTCTTGCATGTGGGAAATCCTGATGATGATTCAGGTTATTGCAAACCCTTAATGCTACCGTGTAAGTGCCCGTGTTTTACAGCTGAGGAGAGAAAGGCATAGTATGAGCCAGGATAAAGATTAAATTGATATTTTCATGAGCTCAGCCTTCAGTATAGAAGAAAATGAAAAACAAGCTGTACCACTTAAACCTGGTTTTATTCTGCATCCCATCTTGCATTTTCATGCTGCTGTGTTTCTAAATAGGGAGCAGCTGTAGGGCTGAAGATGTAAAGAAAAAGTTCAAGGTGAGTCATCTGGATGAGAAAGAGCCATGGGGTGTTGATAGCTTGGCTATGACTAATTGCAACTCCTGTCTTTTGTCAGAGAGAACAATGAGGATCAAACAGAAACTGTGTGAGTGAAGGGTGAAGAGATTAATTTTTAAGGAGTTCACATGTTGCTGAAATAAATGTGTGTGCAGCAGTGTCTTTTAAAAGGGTAACTTTTAAGACTGTGGCCCACAGTGATTCAGTTTATTTGGCATATTGCTGGGAAGTCATTCTTATTTCTTATTTTATTGATCTTGTAAATCACTGTTCAATTGTCTCATAGTAACTTATACTCACTTAACTACTGATGGTGTGATTTATAAGACAGATAAAATTCTGTCTCTATCGACATTAACGAAATAATTCACGCTGTGCCCTGTAGGCTCCAGCTCCAGTACTATTGAATAGTGTTAGTTACCAAAGTGTAAAATTTATTCCTTGCCTGTTTAGCTGCTGCACAGTCCCTGATAAATACATTTGTGAAGGAAAACATGGAGTTAAGAAGGTTTTGTGGTTAAGGAAGATGTAACTGTAGGAGACTGAATTACAGAAAGATGTGTTTGCAACCTGCAAATTAATACCTTGCAGCATTTTTAAAATACTTTTATTGTGCATTAGGATGCACCTGCACTATCACTGTGTAAAAGGCCTCTAACCTCAGCCTTGGGATGAAATTTGTAATCTCATCTCCTTCCAAATTCAGGAGGTGACGCGTGATCCGTCCAAAGCAAATGTGCAGTCCAAGAAGTGGAACAACACTAGTTTCACTCAAGAGAAGACAACTTTATCTACTGAATAATAGATAAGCAGGGATATTGTTTGGGGAAAGATTAAATCTATCCAGAATTGAACCCTAGGCAACATAAAAATGGTGGTTGGATGTAAGAACAGCATGCTCCACCTGAAGTGGATGCAGTGGAAGAATAAGTTATGTAGGCAGATGGAATAGCAACAGGAAAGTCAATTTTTCACAAAAATACCATAAACCAGATATCACAAAAAAACAAGGAGTAACCAACAACATAAAACAAAAGTGAAAACAACTATTAAATTTCTTTTTATTATAAAAGTTTCTCTTTAAAGATAATTTTCAGCTATTTATGTAGTAACTCCAATGTGCAGATGAAGCTTTGTGACAAAACTGTGCCCTCAATGTCCTTGAATTTTGAATCTAAAGAACAGGTGACAGATGAAGTTTAGGATGCTCTTGTTCATGTTTTTCACTTTACTTGCTAAAAAATGGGAAAAAATACCATTGGATGAAAGAGGATGAAGAGCAGGATATATTTAATTCCCGACACCTTAATCGCAGAGTGGAGCTTCCAGTATTTCTCACTAACAGTTCTAGGAATGAATCAAACCCATTGTAGTGTCATTTTTTTGCCTCTTTTCCCTCCCCGTGCACCACAGACAGCTCTCCACTAGTGGTCTCTCCAGGCACGTGGCATCTGCCGAGATCCAAACCTTCCCCTGGCAAACCCAGCAGCTCTGGAGGAGGATGCACAGTAAGGAAATGTCCTTAGGAGTGTGTTGGCACGCGATAACTCATTTATGTGTTGTGAAAATACAAAGCAACGCTAGGAAAATATCCTGCCTGCCTGCTTTTCCTGATGCAGAACGAGCTGCAAAGTTTCCCTTCTTTTGTCATTTTGAAGTGGGCTGTTCCTGTTCTATCAAATACACTAAAATTCATATAATAAATTCATTCAGACTAAAAGTCTGAGTTAAAATCTGCTCATTCTATTTTGAGCATTCAAAAGTGGAAATAAGATGCTGTTAAAATACACATGTTTAAGACTCGGTAACTGTTAGTTAATACTTCTGAAAACCCAGGTGCAGCAGAGAATGCAGTGATGGGTCTTTTATATTTTTACAATTACTGAAAACACCAGAAAAGACCCTTTACTGCAGCCATGCTGATGGCTTTGGTGAGATGATCAGTTCTACCTCTCCAGTAACTCTGTCCACCACGTTTCTTCCCTCATCATTCCACGAGGAGGTACCAGTGTGACCATTTGTCTTCAGCTCACAAACGCTGCCTTAATTTTTCTCCGTTGATGTTGAATTTTGAATAGTCAGGCTGTTTGCATTTGAATAAACCCCTCTGGTTTGTTTTTCAAGCACGGCTGGGTGTGATTGTGCATCTCCTCCTCTCCACACCCTCCTTCCCCTCGGACGCTCTGGATGAACTGGCAGAAGTTGGGGCTCCCCGCTCGCTCCTCCCATGTGTTGTGGGGCTGGAGGCAGCTCTGACCCCTCCCAGGGAGGGAGCTGGGCAGAGGCAGCCGAGTTTTTTCAGCAGAGCCTGATCAGGGACCTCATCCTGCCAAACCACATCCCTCCTGCTCCCAGCAGCCAGGATCTCGCCGGGCGGCTTCGCTGAACCCCTGCGGGCACTGTCCTGTCCAGCTCGCCCCACCAAGGGACAGAGATGGTGGCCACCTGCCTGCACCTGGCTGGATTTGTCTGCAGTTTTATAGGGTGGATCGGGGTGGTTGTGGCGACGGCCACGAACGACTGGGTGGTGACCTGCGGCTACACCATCACCACCTGCAGGAAGATGGATGAGCTGGGATCCAAGGGGCTGTGGGCAGACTGTGTCATGGCAACAGGTCTCTATCACTGCAAGCCCCTCGTGGACATCCTCATACTGCCAGGTACGTGTGTCCCATCCTCCCCTTCCCACCCAGAGTGAGGGATGAAGCCTTGCCCAGAGCAGCGCAGGTCCTGCTGCCAGAGGAGCTGGTGGTGAAGCTCCTTCAGCTTCATCAGCACAGGAGACAGTCCATTAAATACCCTAAAGAATGTGAATGATGGCTCTTAACAGGATTCCGATTGATTTATACCTGGTTTTAATCATACCCAGGTATCGTGTTATCTGTGGCTACGAAAATCCAGTTAATGTTTAATCATTGCTCTGAGAAAAAGCTCACTGTTCCTCTCATATCTTGTCTCTAGATTGCACTGCAGAACATACAGAGCACACTGAGGTGTAATAGAGTATTTCAAGAGGATGGTGAACTATTACAAATGTTAAGGCTCGATTCCTTAAAGTGATTTGGAGCATAATGAATCTTTCAGCATCTATTATTAATGCTCTCATGGCTTTTAATCTTTCGGAAGATCATCATTAGTCTTGATGGTCTTGTGCTTCCCCCAGGTTCTAAGGCAAGACAGAACTTTTACACAGCAAACAGATGTAACTATATTTAACTTGTCTTGATGTTTTTTAATGATATAGCAATTTTCACCTAGTTTATTACAAAGCAAAAATTAAGCCTGGTGTTTAATTAGTTTTAATGCATCTTTTGAGCTAATTAAACCTACCAAAGTCTAGTGAGGTCTGGTCCCTGTAAGTTTAGTTTGTGATCTTGCCCATTTCGATCACTGTTAACCCTGAAGTGCTTCATTCTCCTGTGCTTTAAATTGCAATTCCTATATCACGTCAGAGGTGCCTCTACCAAAGCTGACAGGGTAGACATTACTATTCCTCGTCGTTTTCTTTCATGTTTCTTGATTTATTTGTTTAAACTGATGTGAAAATTATTTTACCAGAGGTAAAAGGGACTATTCCTGACTTTCTCTCTGTTACAGAGCTTGGTCTGTCTCACACAGTGCTCAGCAATATTGAGTCTCTCGGATTCACTCCTATTCTCCCTTTCTCTCTGTGTGTGTATACTTTTATTTTAGAGGGCTTGCCTTTCTTATTACTCCTGTTGTTAAATCTGATCCAGCAGAGAAGTCAGTGTCTGTCCCAAAGAAATGCTATTGAATGCAACTTAATAAATAGGTAAATGGGTCTTGCATCAGCAGAGAGCAAGGCTTCCCTCCAGCAGAAACAAATTACAAACCAAGATGTTTCTGCTTGTAGCCTGTTTGATACCCATAGCTTGCCATGAGAGGGAAATTTATCCTGGTGTACCCAAGAGTCTTTCATGGTCTGAATCAAGTCTTTAAAATAAATTGTTGGTATTCTTGTTGAATTGGAATTGATTGCACAGAAACCTCCCTGGGCACTGCCATCACCTTTGTTTAGGGTCTTGTTTTACGCCCTGAATTCCCCAGGCAACTTTTTTTATTAAGTTTCCTCTTGAAAAAAAATCAAGCAAATATTCGATATACAGAGAGTCTGCACTTCCAGGAACAGTAAATCCTCATTCCTGGTGTCATACCCGTGTGTCAGTGGGACATGCTTGAGGCTCCGTGTGCTGGTGTTGTTTGAGGCATCATGAAACCCTGTGTCTGTATCTGGCAGCTTTGTTATTGAGAGGGTACGAGGAGCCATCACACCCACTGAGACTGTCTCGGGAGCTGGGGGAGGTCACCAGATACTGGGGCAAATCTAACACTGGTTCTTTTTCTTTTGCATGCAAGTAATGACCTGCTTTAATGTATTTATAAGTAAATTTTATATAGTTTATATACATTGTATATAAAATAGATAAAATTTATATATACAGTCTATGTATAAATATTTTTAAAATCATATATTAGGATACATAGACCCTCCCAGAGTGGCAGAAATGCCACAGTCCTGCCCAGCACACCCACAGCCCCTGGTTTCCTACTGTTTCTTGCTGCCTTGTGTGCAGGGACAGGTAGGAGAGGGGTGGGAGATGATGAAAAGCCAGGAGATCCTGTGATGTCTGTAGGAACCCAAAGGAATAACCTGGCCCTCAGTTACAGCAACTCAGGCAGCTCTGTAAAGTACAGTCACTTCTCCCTAAGGAAGGGCTGTGCCAGTGGTCAGCTCGAGCCATGGATCTCCTCTGAAACCCCACAACCAGGCTGAGCTCCTGGGGGGAAGCACTGGGATGTGGTTGAGGAATGTCCCTCCTCCTCCTCCTCCTCCTCCTCCTCCCAGGTCAACAGTGCTCAGCACCTCAGGGCAGCTCCTCGTAGTATTTCACAGACCTGAGAGTTTCAGTAGAGGGTCTTCCACTGTTCAGCCCTCTGAATGATGGAAGATTCTTTAAAACTTTGAATGCCTGTATTTAATCTTGAAGACTTCAAATTCTTGTTATTTAATCAAAGCTCTTGCTATGAAAAGCTATAGGAAAACTCCTTCCTAGCCATTTCTTCTACTTTCCCTTCCCATATTTTCCAGCTCTGTGATTTCTCAGTGTCTTGCTGGGAAGAGCTTGTGTTTTTCAGGCAGTGCTATTTGTTTGCTGGAAAATTCTGAGCCTGCACATCCCGTACTTGTGCACTGCCCACTGCCCTGCGGCCTCACTGCCTCACGCCTGGCGCAGGTTTAATGTTTACACGAGGGATGATCCCATCTCCCATACTCCATGCAAGTCTCGGGATCTAATCAAACAGGAGCCTTTGTCCGAAGGTCTCCTTCTCTTGTGCCGAATAACCCAAATCCTCTTTCCTTGCCTTGCCAACAGGGTATGTCCAAGCGTGTCGAGCGCTGATGATCGCCGCCTCCGTCCTGGGCCTTCCCGCCATATTCCTGCTGATAACGGTCCTGCCCTGCATCCGGATGGGCCACGAGCCTGGAGCAGCCAAGTACCGGCGGTCCCAGCTGGGAGGGATCCTCATCATCCTCCTGGGTAAGGCGCCTGCTGCGTGTGGAGGGCTGGAGCTCTTCCCCTGCTCCAGGACGGCGCGATGTGGGCTGGCTGAGCGTGTCCACCTGGAAGGGTGTTTGTCCAGGCTGGGCTGACTCCGGAGCTCTCCAGCATCCCTGCAGTCTGGGGGGTGGACAAAAGGCACAGACAGGAGTGGGGGGACAAAGACAGGAGGCAGGGAGTGAAGCAGGGCGAGGGAGGAGGGATGGGAATCCCACTGTCTCCGTCCTGTGAGCCCTCAGGCGTGGCCTGCAGGCACTGGTTTTGCTGGTTCACTGTGGAAGCCACGTTATTTTTGGAAAAAGGTCTAAACTACCAAGCTGCTTCCAGGGAATGGATGACCTCCAAATTTTCACAAGGTGAAATAAATGGAGGTGTGTGGGAAGGGAAAGCCCCTACTGAGCGAGGGCTGGTCCTGTGGAAACAGCAGGGGAAGGAGCATGGACATGGGAAGAGGGCTGGTGTGTCCCCTGTGTCTCCCAACCCCCTCTGACTGGCCTAGCCCTTGGCCTCCAAGTTGCCCTGGGAATTTCTTCCCGTCCTCAGCGCTTGTGGAGGAGATTGTTTTGAGCAGCACAGACTGTGGAGCTCATTGTCCCCCATGCAACACCTGCATGTTCTTGAAGCCTCGTCATCTCAGCAACAGCCTGCGGTGCCTTGTTTTCACCCGTCTGTGCGGCAGAGGAGGAGGGGGGAGGGAAAGTGGCCTCTTTGTGTGGCTCTGCTGGTCGCTGGCAGCCAGCACTGACATCATGCCCGTCTTCTTTCTTCTTCTTCTCCTTATTTTTTTTCAAGTGGGCACTGAATATAGCTGCACACTCAGAAGGGCTGTCCCCTGGGTGCTCCTTCCATGCAAGTGATCCCTACTCTGGCCTCCTGTGGTTAGTACAAGTCCATACATCCCAATATAAGGGATTGAGTCCAAGGGGCCCTATTAGTATCTGTAGGGTTTAGGGGCACATTATCCTGGTTGGAAGTCCTAAAATCAGCTTTATAGGGCCTGTTTAGAACATCCTAATCATAAAGAGCCACATTAGAGAGCTGTTGGAATGTGATTTTCATCCCTGTCCCAAAACCTTGAGTCAGCAAAATGAAAGAATAAGTGGGGTTATTTTCTGCCTGTGAGTGAAACTTCAGTACTGGAGGAGTCTGCCCAGGATGAGGAGGCCCAGCAGAGCTGCACTTTGTCACAAAAGCCAGGAGTTTCTGGTTCCAGTCAAGAAGAACCATGCTGCAGGTCAGCCCTGCTTGTATGGCTGCAGACATGGAGGCAGGAGGATTGTCCCTAAAAATCCCAAAGGGCAATGGGATGACAGGACCTGAACACATGTGGCAAATTGCAGTGATAGTATTGGATAATGCTGCATTAGAACAAGTGAAACCCCATATGCTGCAGTATCACACCAGGATTTGGGTCTGCTGTGCCACTATCCTGTCCTGGTCGTGCTGTGGTGGGACATCAGGGAGGAGAATAGAGGTGAGGGGATGATGGAGAGTTGTGGTGCTCCATAAGCCAGGCTCCCCTCTGCCTCTGAACATGGTTTTCCCACTAGGTAGATCCTGTGAGGAAAGGAAATGTTTTTTTAAGAAAAAAACAAAGCAACCCACATTTACTTTTATAAAGCCCAAGTTTTCCCGGGCTGATCAACAAGACAGTCCCTTTGGAAAGAAGAATAATGTACAGAGCTTTGGACTTTGACATTGTTTAAGTTGATGAATGATCTGTTACTTGCAAAACGAGGTGTTACCATTCCAGAGCATTTAACAAGCACGGATCAGGCCTTGAGAGATATAATACCGACTTAAAATCCATTATATTCTAGAAGTAACATGCCCTGGACTGTTCTTATTTCCCCCTGGCCACTGAACTCTCACTTGTGGTTTCCAGAACCTCACAGGCTCCAGACTTTTCATCTTAGGAGAGAGCAACTCTCAGAGCTCTGGCTAAAATAAAACAACCTCCAAAACACTCCTTAACACAGCAGAAATAGGGAGTGGGAATGCAATCAGGGGAACTGGACCCATGGCAAACTTAACTTGCTTGGGGAAGGGATGGCAGTTTGTCACTGACATTTATTGCAAGGGAAAATAGGGGTTGAAACACAGCATGGAGCAAAAAAAAAAAATTATATATATAAGAAGTTGAAAACTTGCCAGGAAAACAATGGGCTCAGATATTCCATTGATTTTTCTGTCCACTGATAATCGCAGGCTGCAGAGTGCAACCTGTGTGCACGCCCTCCTATCCTGCTGCTGATGTGTTTATGGCTTGGCTTGATCCTATCTGACTGAGAGAATTGATTTATAGTTGAAAACAGCCGTCAGCAGAGGTTTGCTCTGAGCTGGCATGAAAACATTTCATACGCTGGTGTTGATGGAAAAACCCTGGCCCAGCCCGTGTTGTTGATACTAATCTGGGGTCCCCTTGCTGGTAACCAAAGGGGTATCTTCCTAATGGAGGAGAGAGACTGAGACACTGGAAAACACAGTGAAATATATGTCAGTTAGTGGGAATTGCTACTACAAAATGACCTATCAGCTATTGTGTACTAAACAATGGATGTTAATGAGCTTTTCTGGACACTGCCTGAGTTTTACTTGTAAAACCATAGGTATCAAGAGAAAAAGATTACCTTGAGCATAGAACAAAAAACTGTGGATATCTATTATTTCAACCAAATGCTTTGAAAGAGAAATCTGTGTGACTTTGAGTCAGCAACTCAGAGAGGTTAAATTTAGCTGTGAAAGAAAAGTATTCTTTATTCTGCAGAAAGCCTTTAACTTACTGTTAAGGAATTTGGCAGGGACTCACTGTCCCTTGAGTTAGAGCAATCCTGCTCCCTCTCCCCCAGCTCCCCAAGTACCCTCTGTGCTTCTTGTTTCTGTGCACTTCCATCTGACTCAAATATTCCTGTAACGTAGAATATTAAGAGTTTCAGCTCAGCAGACTGAGCTACTGCAAGTTCACAGTCAAAAAAGGACTTGGAAATGCTGGGATCTGGGATGTCTCCCTGTGGATTCAGAGCAATCTGATGGAGCAAGGACATTCATGCCATGCAGAGCTGAGATGTTTTAGGTAGAGGCAGTGGCTTTTACAGGATTGCCTGCTCCAGGTGAAAAAAGCAGGCAAGCTTTCCATACCTGTGTGCTCCAAAACATGCCTGTTTTTTCAACTAACCTGGTTGTTCTAATAGAAAATATTCCTTCTGTTTGCCGAAGGAATTCCCTTTCTCCCAGGCTATATTGGCTACAGCATCTCTGCTGTCTGAAGACTTTCTTATTTAGAGAGAGGCAAAGGGTCTCTCAACATTAGCACAAGAGAAGGGATAATAACTTCCATCTGCACTCCTTTTCCACGTAGGCAGCTGTTTTAGAACTTGAAATTTTCCCTAAAATGCCTTTTCCAATCCCTTTGGGTTCCTTGTCAAATCACCTGGGTTTTTTCAGCCTTTCCCTGTGATACAACTAGACCAACATTTGAGTCTATGGAGAGGTGTTGCAGTTGCTGACTGTCCTTTTCCCATCTCCTTGGAGGATTTACAGCCCAATCTCATCTGTGCAGAGCGATGAAACCCAGTCCTGTTCCAGGGCATCCCTCTTGCTCAGCAACGGGGTCACTGGTGACTGATGGCAGCTGGTGGCCTCCAAAGGCAGAGAGGTCAAAGGGACCCATGCAAAATCCTTGGCTTGTGTTTCACAGCTTTCTGGTATTGTCAGCACTAAAATAAGGTGGTTTCACATGTAGTGGAGCCACACACACAAGAGATGCCATTGTGTGAGCATCCCTGAGAGCTCCTCTCACCCCAGTGCAAGTGTTTTCCTTGCTCCTGTGTTGTGGGGGAGGGTCTGGATAGATAAGGCTCTTATAGTCTATAGACAAAAATATATATATTTATATATATTTACTGCTGACAGAAAAAAGAAAAGATGATTGTGTTTTTTCGGACAACAAAGCAGCTTTGTTTCCAGAGCCCATTAGAATGCTTTGTGGATTCCCAACTGATACATTTTTGTTTTAAAGCGCTGGAAGCTCATGGGCTGTTTGCAGGACTGCTCCACACGCGGGAGAAACGCTCTTTCCCCTCCCTGCCTTCTCCAAAAATTCCTTCCAAAGCTGCGGGGCCCTTGCTTTGAGGAGGCCCAAAATTATTACTGGCTTTATTAGCATCCTTCAAATGTTCTTCTCTCTTCCATAAGAAAATATTTTCTCTCACAATAACTGCAGCTTTGGGGATGGGTTTTCTGCTGTACTGGCCAGGAGCTACGGTTTGTTCTCTGCTTTAACTAAACAATTTTATTTTTAATCTCACCCCTTTCTTTTTCCCTCTTGCAACCTTAACTTTCTGACACTGCCTCCAGATACCTTTTAACACGGTCGGTGGAAATCTGTAACACTGCCACGGACCTGTTATTGTTTTGCTCTCATTCTCTGATAGCCACAAGGATGGAGTCCTGCACAGCTTGTCCCGGAGGCAAGTAAATATTGACACATTAATTCTTCTCAGATGTACAGGCCATCAAGGAGTATTGTTTTAGGACCTGCTCCTGGGAGGTGATTAACACCATCAACTCCTGTTGCCCTCGGTGCATGTGGGGACTCTGTGGGGATTGTCTCCCTCACATGTCACCTCACAGCACTGCTGCACCAGCATTCCTGCTTTCTGTGGGAAAAAAACTATGCAATTTCAAGTAAAATGCAAATCCTATGGTCATCTTCTGACCCGTTGTACGCTCTAGGCAGACTCCTGTTTAGACCCTCCACGTCCCACTTCTACTCCACTCAGTAAGTTTCTGGACAGCCTTGCCAGGTTTGACCCCATCACTTGATAGAAATTTTCCATAGGGAAGCAGAATCTGCTTTCCAGAGTTGTGAGACATTTCCTTCTCCATAAAAAAATCCTGATAATGCCGAACTGTTGCTCATTTTGTCTCTGCCCATTTTCTGCTTGTATTTCATAAGGCCCTACTCTACCTTTCTGGGATATTTTGGTGACATTTGTGTGACCATTCAGTAGAGCCACTGCAATGATGTGGATTGACATGGGCTGAGGACACAGCACATGGGTCCATGCAAGAAATAGTGATTTAAATCAGGTGATTCTGGGCCACTGATTTTACTCTCTCACTAATACATACAGTTTTTGTGCTCTTGCTTCATATTTAACCTATTCCTAATTCTGCAGCTCTCCAGAGTATCAGTTGCAGGGATGACTCTCATTCTTCCCCCTTAAAGATAATTTTAGGGAACAAATCTGTTTCCCTTCTCATAAACATATCAGGTTGTGTCAGGCAGCAGTTGTTTTTTCTTCTTGTTTGCTGGTGCCTGAGAGAGACGGCTGTTCTCTCTCACTCCCTCTCTCATGAGGCCTCTGGCTCGGAGACCTCTCGCAGGGATGGGCTTCATCTCTGTTCCCTGTCCTACTGAGCCTTCCTTCCCTTTTGGCGTGCTGTGTCCCGTGGCGGGGTTCCATGCTGGAGTCCCCTCCAGTCTGGAACCCTGACTCTTTCCTCCCCCTCTCTCCCCAGCCATGTGCGGTGTCGTCGCGACGATCTGGTTCCCGGTGTGCGCCCACCGCGAGACCACCATCATGAGCTTCGGCTACTCCCTGTACACGGGCTGGATCGGCTCTGCCCTCTGCCTCTTCGGTGGCTGCGTCATCGTCTGCTGCTCGGGAGATGCCCAGACGTTCGGTGAGAACCGCTTCTACTACGGCTCGGGGTCCAGCTCCCCCACCCACGCCAAGAGCGCGCACGTGTAACCGCCCCGGGGACGCCCCACGGCTGCCGTCGGATGCTTTGGCTGGTGGGTTTGTGTGCCCTGGGTTTGCTTCTACTGACACGCACGGCTGTCAGGCTCCCAGGGGGAGATTTAGAAAAAGCAGCACAAATGTCTGGTAGTTTGAAGCATTATTCCCCCCCAATCTGTTCCCCCCTTCTCTAGAAAGACAGCTCCAGCCAGCCCTCCCCAGTTTGTCCTGACCGCCTGCCCCGTCTTCTTGCAGCCAGGATGACTCAGATGGTTTGGGGTTGTCATGTGGGTTTTAGGGTTTTTAGTTTATTTTCTAGCTCCCCTGGTTATAGGAGAGTTTAAAGCAATAAAACAGAAATGAGAGAGACACTTTCCCATTGTTAGAAGGACTCTGACAGCTTCTCCCCCCACCTCACTGTTTCCTTTCCCCTGCTCAAGGTCTCGGCTCTGGCACAGTTGGGGAGAGAGGATAGGGAGGAAGGCTGTCCTCTCCCACCGGGCGAATGTTTCTCTTTTGGAACAAGAGGAGGGGACTTTTCTGCCTTTCTCTGTAAATACTTTTGTATGAGTTTCATCATTTTAGTAACAGTATTTCCCCCACCCCCACAGTCATCAGTATGAAGGAAACCGAACCCAAAGGTCCTAATGACGCGGTAGATAACAGTGCCTTTTCAAATAGTTATAAATGACTCTGGGGGCTCTTATCCCCACTCTCTGGTTCAGTTTCTTATCTTTCTTTTGTACAGATCAATTACTAAAAATGTATTTTTACATTTTTTTAAACTCCTCGCTTTCCTCCTCTAAGTTTGTGTTCTGTATTGCCTCGTTAAAGCACCACATTTTAACATGCAGTATAATGTACCTGTTACAATACAATTCTGGTGAGTACTGATGATGCCTTTGTACTTTCAGTGAAATACTGTACAATAAATAACAGAGTACCTGCAACCTCTGACTTCATTTTTTTCCTTCCTTCCTGTGTGTTTCCATAGCTAGTTTTTTCCATGACAGGAGTTTCCCAATGATTTTGAAGATTTTTTTTTTTTGGTAGCAGTTCAGGATGAAAAATTCTGCTCTGCTGTGGCATTAAGTGGGGAATATTTAAAATATGAGTAATCTTCCTGCATGGAACTGACCATTATCTTATTCATTGGCTCTTTCGATGTTCCCAGTAGCAACTTGTACAAGTAGTACCCACTTGTGGGATTCTTTATTATGAATAAGACTTAGAAACTCCCCGAGGTGGTGGAGATGCACCCCCAGCACTGTAAAGTTGAGACCTCGTGTTGCTGGAAGTGCTCTCAACTAAAAGAAGAGTCTGATCTGGGGTCATCACTCTGATTAAAACTGTGTAAGATCAAGATCTGACTCTGTCCTTACCAGAGGCTGTAGCAATTTAATTATGTTGATACAAAATCCCATCTGTTCCCAGAGATGTTAACTCAGTTCAAATAAGTTGTGTAAGCCAGGAGAAGGAAAAGAGGAATAGCTGCTGTTCAGGGGTGGGCAAGGAGAGAGCCCCAGTGGAAATGTGAGGGGAGGAGAAGGGTCTGAGCAACCAAATTGTTTGGAGTGATGAAGAATAATTTGAAAACAAGGCTGTGGTTTCGGGACTGCCCTTTCACCTTGGTCTGCTTCAGTAGAAGCCAAATCGGGCAACACAGCCACGGGCAAGGATGCTGCAGCTCCCACCTCTCCCCACCTCCCTGTGGGAAGCAGAGGCTGGAGCATTTAAAACGAGCCAAAGGGAGGTTGATTGTGCTCCACAGTGACCCTTTGCCTGCCTGGGCCAGGAATGAGCCAGCAGCCCGAGCATCTGCCTCCGACGCCGCGCAGCCTTGAAGGCGGCTCTGTTGTGTGCGCTGTGCCTCGCCGCCGTGCTGTGCGATGTCCCCAGGGCGGGCAGGGCCGGTGGCAGGACACTTGTGCCCATGACATCACAGGCAGGGCACAGGCAGTTGTTGTACGCGCCGGGCGCTGTCAGTGCTGCCATTGATGTGCGGGTGCCACGGGCGAGGGGGCGGCGCACAGACGTGCCAGCTTGTGCAGGCTGCCCGGGGATTGTGGATTGTGCCCCGCGGATTGAGCCCCGGGATTTAACCCCGGGACTGACGGCGGCGTGGGAGCGGGAAACCGCTGGAATGCTGCCCTGCAAGCAGCCCTGGAGCAAAGCAGGAGGGGAAAGCACAGGAATACCGCTCTCAGACGCCCGAGTCGGGTCTTTGGCAAGGTGTTGGTGCTGCTGGAGGTGCGTGGCCTGATGGGGAGCGAGCCCTGCCAGGCAGCGCTTAGGGGTTTTTTCCTGTCCACATCCTTGGACTGCACCTTGTCCCTTCCAACTTTACCCGTTCTGTGATTCCGTGATCTTCAGGCAGGTGGGGCTGAGGACCCTTGGCAGGGCGTGGTGCCAGGGCTCTGTTTGCTCTGCCCATGGTCACAGGTTACCGGCGTCCGACCCCAAATCCAACCCTTAAAAAGCCCTGGGCGAGCTGCTCAGAGGGAAGAAACTTTATTTCAGGGAAGAAAATAAAAAAAAAAACAAACTAAACAAAACAACCCCACAGCAGTTGCGGGGGAAACGTACTGTCTGCAACTGTGGGGTGGGAGGAGAAGGGGCCAAGAATGTGACGGGATATTGGTGCTGGCACTGCAGAGGGGAAGTGCTCAAAGGAAGCACCAAGAACACTAAACTATTCAAGTTTTTAAAGGATCAAAGCTGAAATAACTGCTTCGTGCCCTCCCCAAACATGCTGCTCCCCTGTGGGCTCTCACAGGCGGGGATGGCTATGGCACTGTTGGCTCTTGAAGTCTTTGAGTGCTTGTTTGCCAACTCAAAGCCTCAAAACAGGGTCAAATAGAATTTTCTTGAATGTAAAAACTGCTCCACACCGTGCCTACCATCAAGTCTGGAGCAGTGGGTGTGAGCTGTAGTGGTCACCCCGCTGTGGAGTTGGTGATCCCTGACCCAGCAGAGCTCTCCCCAGCCCCACCAGGACCAGTTGGAGCTGGTGACCCCATCCCCATGATGGGAATGCACCTGGCAGCCTCCCCACTCCCCAGATAGCAAGGATACAAGGAAAAAGACCATGGGAGGACACTGGTGGCCCTGAGCACCCCAAAGAGGACAGGCAGCTGTGTCTTCACAAGTGAAACCCGGCTCCCCACAGCCCCGGTGCCTGTGCAGGGAGGGGACAGTGCTGTGACACTCCAGTTCCTCCAGGGAAAGGTGGGTGCCAGCAGCACCACAGGCAGATGGAAAGACCAGGTAGCTCCCCAGGGCTTCACACTACAGTAGCCAACCTGTGGTCATTAGCTTTAGGCTTTTTCCTTCTTTTCTTTTCTTTTTTTTTTATTGTGTAAACGGATAACCATTTTCTTTCACAACAGTGCAAGTCAATACCAAAGTCAGCTCACTGAAATGGATCTTCTACAATGGAAATTTTGAAGCACTTAAGGCAAGATTTTGTTCATCTCTAGCTTCAATTTAGCACTGAAAAAGTATCAGAGCTTCAGGTACTGATTGGCTTAACAAAATTTACATGGGAAATTTTCTTTTATTATTTTTTGGTTTAGTCTTTCATTTAAAAGATTTACATTACTATGGAAACTGATACTAAGACACATTTGTCTCTGGCTTTCTTTACAAATCCCTTAGTTCCTCTTTGATTTTTAAATGTAAAGGCACACAATAAAGCTTTATGCATTTATTAAAATATACAGATTTGGTAAATTTAGATTTTTTTTTCTTAGTATCTTGATTATATATATGTATTATATGTATAGTTGTCAACAACACAATCATTTGAAAATAAAAATCACTCCATAACATATCTGCATATTTTTTTTCTTTCTCATGACACACTACAAGATCCCATTGTACAATGCACCAATGGGATTCTGGAAACCACAAAAAAAATATAAATGGATATAACAAACTGCTTTTAACAAATACACCAACTTCATACCAGAACTGCAGAGAATTGTTACATCAGAAAGTACCACCTGCAAAAAAAAAGCAAGATATACATCAGAGAGACCAAACAAAATGAAGTGAAGGTCATTTACAAGCTGGATTTACAACATCCCATGTAGTTCAGGGTGTGATTTCGCTGCCACGTGGAGGATGCCAGTGTGCTGGGCCTAGGACCGAGGGGTTGTGATGGTGCAGAGTGAATTTGTGGAGGGGCTGAGATCTTATAGAGTTGGTCTGGAAGGTCTGAGGTATTTATGCTCAATCTGTACCACGCACTGGGCCCCTCAGGAGGAGTGGTCAGGCATGAAGGGGCTGTGTGCCTCTCACCAGTGGTGGGAGCGGGATGGTACCGCTCTGCCTGTGCCCTTGTGATGGTCAGGGATGTGAGAACATCCCTCAGGGCACCCAGGGAGAAAGGTTGGATTTGGGGTTACAGCAAAACAAGCACTTGCACCTCTTGCAGCACCCAAGACTGTCCCAGGGGCCAGCGGTGCCCAGGGGCGATGGACACACCTGGACATTCTGCCTTGGCAGCTTTTGCTCGTGCCCACTGAAGACCCCAACAGTGCTACAAGAGACAGCACACGAGCTCCCAGAGACTGAATCCACACATCCCCCAGGAACTGCCACCTGGAGCAAGGGGCAGGGATCCTGCTGTGAACCAGGCCTGACCCAGCCTGTGGCTTGGCCACTTCTCCTTAAACAGCTCCACTGGGTGGGATGTGCTGGGCTTGGGAAGAGGATGTAGCTCCCACCCCGACATAGCAAGAGCTGACGGCATCAAATGCTGTTTCCTGGCAGTCCCAGGATGTGGCACAGCCATCCTGCCCCGGCACTTCCTCGGGAAGGGGAAGAAAGATGGGTGAAAGGGAACAAGAGCAGCCAAAGGGCTTCGCTCAATGTTTGGATCCAATGGAGAGGTTCCTACAGACACCAAAGAGCAAGGGATCAAGCCCCCACCAAATTATACGGCATAACTAGAGCAGACACGACGACAGACACTGGAACTGGTAACTGCTCTGTAGCAAGAGATTAAGGCTGCAAGAAGAATAACGGGCTTTGATTCAACAGGGTACTTGGGCTTGAGTTTGTGGTTCGGCAGACGCCTAAATACCGTGAGGAAGCAGGACGAAAACTACTACCTGGGATATGGTATAGTACAAGAGCTGGTAGGAAAATAGCATCAATCTTTCTCCCTGAAAACGTGACGCCAGACCTGCGAGGTGCCATCTCTCTTGGGAACTTCTAAGGCATTGAGGAGGAGAGCAGCCAAGCGCGAGTGAGCGGTGACCGTTGCGAGAGGAGCTCAGCACCACCAGGAAGGTTTTCCGAGCTGGCCCGTGAGCGGTGCACACATCGCAAACAGCTTTTCGGTGGGACACACTCCGGTTTTCTGCCGTAGGAGCGTGGTAGGGGTGGGCAGCAAGAGGCAATGCCAGAGCAAAGCTTACAAGTCCATTAATCAAATCCTCACTCTCAATCTGGAGCCCCCACAGAGGTCAAACATCCCTTGGCTTGCCCGCAGTGCTCCAGGTTAACATCTGCAGAATCAGATGCTCTTCTCCACTGGGAAAATGACTGTAGTTTGTCACTGTTTGGGACAGGCGCTGCAGGAAAACTTTTGTGGCCTCAGGCAGAGCCTGTCCATTGAACCCTTGAGCTCTGGGAACAATGGGGGTGGGCACACGTCCAGGCACCCTCTGCACCCAGCAGCCACTTACCCACAGAGGGTGCCAGGCAGGTGTTTTGGGGGCTGAGTCTCATTCAGTGAACCAAAGTGTTAATGGTTCTCAATATCCATGAGGATATTTCCATGTTGGAAATTCTGCCCCCATTGATGTTAAATTTTCCTCTGGAATGCCAGCAGCAGCACCTGATATTGGGGATTGTTCTGGGCTGTGCTGAGGAGCCCCACGGATGGATTCACCTGTGGCCTTCAGCAGCCAGGAGGAGGATGGGTGTTGCTGTCTGATGG